ACAGATCTCTGAGGCTCTGTTCATTTTACTTCATTTTTCTTTTTGCTCCTAGAACTGGACCTATTTTTCAGTTTGAAAATCTTTCCTTCTGTCTTATGTTGAGCCCTTCTAGTGAATTTTTTTCCTTGTTATTCTCCAAAATTTCTATTTGGTTTTGGCTTTGTTTTATAAAATTTACCTTTTTACTGATATTGTCTATTTGGTGAGACATCATTCTCATTATTTCCTTTATTTCTTTAGACATGGTTACCTTTAGTTCCTTGAAAATATTTAAGATATCAAACTTAAAGTCTTTGTCTAATAAATCCAATATTTGGATTTCTTCAGGGGCAATGCTTATGCTTTATTTTCTGTGAACTGGAGATATTTTGTGTTTCTTCTTGCATCTCATTTTGTTGTTCTAGTTGTTATTGAAAACTAGACATCTTAAATAACAATGTGGCAACTCTAGAAATCAGATTACCCCCCTTCCACAGAGTTTATTGTTTAATGGTATTTTTCATGATTAAATCTATAAAGTCTGTATTTATTGTTATATGTGGCAACTAAGACTCTTCTTGGTTAGCCTAGTGGTCAGCTAATGATTCAACAAAAACACCCTTGAATGCCTGGAACCACTAAGTCTCCCAGTCTTTGCAGAGGGGCTCTGTGTGCATTTGGGGGCACACCTTCAATCTCATCAGGCTCTTGAAGCTCTGCCTTAGCCTTCTCTTCCTGCTTGCACAGAGCCTCAAGGTCAGACAGAGATGAGATCTTAGGACTCTTCAGGTGTTCCATAACACTCCCAGGCTTAGGCATGCATGTGGTCTGACAGAGCCCCAGGAGTGTGTCAGAGATTTTGAAAGTCTTCATGTGCATTGCATTCCCTAGCTTTTCCTTTAAGCTTTTTGGTTAGTCTACTGTTTGCCCCGCTCTTATATAACCACCTCAGCAGCTGTGCTGTTGCTGATGTTTGTTTCTGACAAATGCCCCAGAGGAAAAGGTTGTTTGCATTTGGTCAGCTCCAAGTCAGATCAAATAAAGAAAAGCCTTGTGAGTGGGGCCTTCCAGGGGACCACCAAACAAGTCGAATAATGACGATTCTATCAAAATGTGGTTGTGAAGGCGCGCCGTCACCATTCTGCACCACCAGTGGCCCCCAGGCTACGGTTTGGTTGCTGCGGTTGTCGTTGTCTCACTGTGAGTGCAGACTGATGGCCTTCAAGGCTACAGAGAGCTGGGGGAGATGGGAATTAAGCAAATTAAAGACGTGGTGAAGCTCACTGTTCTTACCGAATTCCTCCGCCCTCCTTGAATAAACACTTCCTGGTTTGCTGCAAACCTTTGGTTAATTTATAGGGTTCTGAAAAGTTAATTCTGACAGTTTTTTCTAGTATTCTCATTACTGTTACAGAGAATTTGTACAGGCTTACTTTGTCATTCCCACTGTCATGCTACTTTTCTTTTTATAATCTTTCTGTGAAATGTTTACTTAGGTGTATAACCTGTAAATGGCTTTTTAAAAATCTCAGTTGGATATTTCTATCTTTTATTAGCAAAAGTAAGCCATTTGAAGGTACTGTACTCACAGACATATTTAATCTTAGCCCTACTACTTTACTTTAGATGTGTACTTACTGTGTTTTCTTATTTTGTTTCCTCTTGTTTTTCAATTTTTATCTTTATTCCTCTCTTCTCTTGAGTAGTCTGAAGTTCTACTTGCCCTTCCTGTTTTACTATGTTCCTGTAAACATACATATTAAAATATCTAAACTTACATATTTTCTATCAAAATAAAAACTAAATAGCATAATAAATCCATAAAATCAGATTTCAAAACAAGGTTTAAAACAAACAAGAAAGCTATTTAAATTGTTGCAGTGTACTTTGGTGTCCCTGGTTGGGTGGCAGATTTGAGGTAACCTTAATAATTGTTGCTATTTATTGAGTGGCTACTGTGCTACTCAAACAGGATACATACCTTTTGGTTGTCCATTCATTTAATCTTCACAACTGTGTAAGAACTCTTTTTATATATAATTAAACAAACTCAGAAAATTTAAATTTTTATGTGACTGTCAAGAGTAACATACGTTATAGGCAACAATATCATCATTCAAGATTGGGTCTGCCAAATACCAGCTACACTGCTTCTCAAATGCTTGTCCCTTTCCACAAGGGTAAACATTTAAGGATACAGTTAGTCGGAAGAGGCACACATGTTTATGAGAACAGATAACAGAAAGCAGTCTTTCTTAGTATTTCTAATCAGATGAAATTATAAATACAGAGAAAGGAAAGCAAATACAGTAACAGATGAAACCTGGAAGAATAGCTACGCTGAAAGATAGCCCGGAAGGAACGGACAGCTGGGAAGCATGCTAAGGAAGTCAAAGAGACAGAGAAAGTCGATATATTTTGACTGAAAAGAACAGATGGGACAGGAGCAAAGACAAAAGGAGCCAGTGGGTAGGTGTCATCAGTTGTAGGGCAAGTAACTAGACCCTGATCAATCGACAGGAATTTATTCACTGGACTCCTGGGCACTGGGGCAGATACGAAAGAATGTAGAGTTATTTTGGGAATGATAATGATGCAGACAAGACAGATGGCACTAACTGGGGCATTGCTTCTGAAGGAAAAGGCTACAGACAGAAGGCAGAAAAAAAAGTTTAAGGCAACCCCCATGGCAGCCAATTTGCATATCAATCTGGAATTTTTGTAGGACTAAAAAGATATAGAGGAATCACTACAGTTGCTATTAAATCAGAAGTAAAGGATTTGTATAAGGAAAGAAAAATATGACAAATACCTACTCTTTCCATTTCTGCTCTTGTGTAAAAGATTATCCAGGATTCATGAAAGCACCTCTACACCTTCCTGCACACTACAGACAGTCCTTTACATCATCCTCCCAACTTAAATATGACTATTTAGGTAAGACTGTGCATGGCTTAAAGGACATGACTAATTCTGAATAGGTCTGACCACCTTAGAAGGCATGAGAAAGTCTTTTTATGTTGGAGGAAATTGCAAGCAAGGCTTAAAAAGTGCCTAAAGACATTCAACAATGTAATGAAGATAGATCTCCATTTGTGAAAGTATAAGTTAACCAAGGTTAGTTGGTGTTAGTAGACACAGAGCCCAATTCAGAGACATGAGTAGCAAATTAGCTTTCTGGGTAGCCCCTTCATATACTATATGTAACAGAGTCTCATATGTGCATGAATTTATTCTAAGGTATGAGTATCTTCCATAAGAAAAATGGCAGCTGCCATGAGCTATCCTATAGTTTAAGCTCTTTACATTATCTCATCAAATCCTCACAACTGTAATATATAGATGTTATTATTATTCCTACTTTATAATGAGAAAAATGAGACTCAAACATGTTATATAACTTGCCCAACATCACAAAGTAAGTGCAAGAGTAGCGATTCATATTCTAATCTGTGTCATATATTTTACCCTAAGGAAGGCACATTTTAGGTGCCGGGGCTGTAAAAATTAATATTTGACGGTCCTTGTTCTTGAGATGCATATAGACTAGCAGGGAGACAGAAAGCCAAAAAACGGTTGCAATACAGTAAAATATGTATTATGAGAAGCATGCATGTACTACTGAAAAAGGAAAGAATCACATAATTTTGCCTGGGGATGTCAGAGACCACTTGAGCATAGACTTTATGGGTCAGGAATGGTTTCTCAGGTGATGAGGACACACACGGAATTTCAATACACACAAAGCAGCGCCTACAAAGACCCAGAAGCAGGAAAAAGTTTGAACTATTTAGGAAACCCTAAGGAGGTCAGAAAGACTGAAACAAAAAGTACAGACATACAGCAGGAGATGATGCTGGGGAGGTAAGCACTGTATGTGAGACTAAAGAATTCAGATCTTATGCCATAGGAATTGGGGAATCATTCAAGTCAGTCCTGTGAAGAGTTTGGTCAATAAAAGAGGTTCTCCATGCTATTATATCATGAGGTCCATAAGGCTATAAAAATTCAAGGGCTGGAGATGATCTCAGGGTCACAGCTAAGTAGTAATGGCAGCATTACAAATGGAAGACTCCACTGGAGATTTGACGGGAGGTGGTAGGATGGCGGCAGCATGCTAGAGAGACCTAGGCCCAGTGCCCAGAGGCTGCACCAGGGGTGGAGACACCTTATAGATAACTGTGTTGGCCAGTTACTCCATTCATGCATTTGTTCATCCAATACGCATATGCATGCCAGAAGCTATAGCCTCGGTAGCATTGGCATTTCAATAGTCATATCCAACAGAATGGTAAATGGCTTTTGAGATGGCATGGCTCATCTGGACACTGACATCAGGTATGACTTTGGGACCTGTTTAGAGAGGTATGGAACAGCAGTCAAGTCCTGCCGAGAGAACGCCAGTAGTGAGTGCCCCGGAGGACACTATCTGGAGCATCTGGGGTCAGCAGAGATGGGCCTGTGGGTCTAAACCCTGAAACCTCTGGAAACTGAGGTGGTTTGCCAAATCTCAAAAAATTGTGAGGCACAATTTAACACCTAGGTAGAAGGGGGATCTGCAGGGAATGACCACATTCTCTTATGCACCCAAGAGAGAGCAGCACCTAGAAGGAGGTAAGTAGAAAGACAGCAATTACAAATATCCAAAAGAAACTGGACAGACTCCCTTGGTTATAGAATTGAAATGCTTCCTCCAAGTGAGACAGAGACAAAAAGACTCTCAGTCCTCAGAGGCCCATGTCATACATATGTTTGGATGTAGATGTTTATATAGTAAATGGAGGTTGTCATTCCATTTCTGCCACTAATTAGCTATGTGGCCGTAAACAAGCTGCTTCCTCTCCCTGAGTTTCAGCTTTCTCATCTAGAACATGAAAAGGCTAGATCTGATGACTTCTAAGGTCCCTTCCAGCTATAATATTTTATTAGGATTCCAGATGGTTACTGGAGATGATCAAATTCTGTGTCAATTTATAATTATGCTGTGTAAATGATACAATATCCTATTTTCCTCCTCTTAGGAATTGTCGTGTGAAAATGACCCAACAAATGCAGAATTTACATCTTTCTCAGTCAAAAAAACACAGCGCCCCCTCTTCTCCCAATGCTGCCAAACGCCTGTACCGGAACCTCTCTGAGAAACTGAAGGGGAGCCACTCTTCATTTGATGAGGCCTATTTCAGAACAAGAACTGACCGGATGAGTCTCAGAAAGACCTCGGTGGTAAAAAAAAAAACAACTCTTCATTCTTATCTTGGTTTGATTTGTGCAGTTGTGTTTGGAATTAAGAAGATTCTAAGATGATCCATGTTTACTTCAGAACCTGACGTTTGCAATTTTATAAATGCTGGAAGTCAGAGAAGACAGGAACTGTGCATACCTCTGTGGTTAGCTGAAGTCTGAGTGATTGAGAGAGTTCCCCATTCCCTTTCTTAATTTCTTTCCCTTTCTTTTCCCTTAGTTTTTCATTCTTTAATAGACCAAAGAAACAAAAATAGCAAATATGAAGTATGAGATTAAATAGGCCTCTCAGAGGTTCACTGTTCATTCAAATACTGATCAATAAACAATACTTTTTATTTATAATGTATACTCCATATGCATTCCAAAGGCATTCAAGACAGAATCCAAGTTAAAAAAAAATATGTATGTATTATATAATGGGAGATAAAGAGACAGACATAGAGGGAGACAGTGAGTGTGAAGAAAAGAAAGAAATAAAAAGAAAGGAAAAGAGAGGAAGAGGGGAAAGATGGAGGAGTGGGAAAAGAAGGAAGAGAGGGAGGGAGAGAGGGTTAAAAGGAAGGAAGGAAGGAAGAAAAAAGAAAAAAACTAAGAAAAGAAAATAGTGGAGATGGAAACAGAAATGAATATACCAAAAACCTAAGCAAATATAATAACTAAAATTTATCATTACATTTATCTCTGAGTTCCTCTACAGTCAAAACAAAAAGGAAAACAACTGGTTATAGAATCCCATTAGCTGGTAGTTGGAAGTATGTCAGTCTATAAGGAGATACTAATATTTTTCTGTTGCTAAGTCCTCTAGTCTTTATAAGCTATCATAATGAACTATGTAATGGAGAATAAAAATTAATATTGGTGATGTTATAAACATTCTCAGTAGCAGTTTCTTATACTGGCCCTGGGTAAAAGCTGGGGGCACAATACCAACATGCTCAGCAAGGGTATTTCTGCAGGGGGTAATGGCACCATATTTTTGAGCCTAAAAAACAGACACAAGCCCTTGCCTTTCCAGATAGAAAGCACACTGGACTTTGCCAACAAAAACATAGAGGAGGAAATGACTTAAGAGTGAGAACAAATACGACACACGAGAAATCAGACATACTAAGAATCACAAATACACAACTGTGGACAGGGCAGCATTTTGACTTTGCACTCATTCGTTTTCTCATTTCAAACTCATCTGGAAGGCCTTGGCTACAGCTGAGTTGTGGCCAAAGCATCAGAGGCTCCCCAGTTTGGCAGTCGGTCGACAAAACACTTTTCCATTCAGCAGATCATCCTGAGAGCGAACGGCATACCAAAATAATTCTATTCCCTGGGTGATTGTCAAAACAAGCATTTGCATAATAGCTTTGTATTTTCTTCTAATTTCAATCATGTGTTATGTGCTCAGCTAAGCCGACTTGCATGCAGGCTTTGATAGGGAGAATGGATTTTTGATGTGACTAAAAATAAAACCTGCCAATCTCAATATTTGGTCACTGAAGACCTTACATATTTTAATTAGGTGACTCCTGTGCTAGGTCAGGACCGATGGTATTTCAATATTTTAAAGGCCAAGCAACTCGAGGAGAAGATACCAGATAGATGTGTAAAACTATATGTGTTATTTTTTTCCCCATAAGCTACAGAAATGTGTTTGAGAGAATTCCACAGCTTTTCTCCTTAGTTTGCTATTAACCCTCTGAAAGAACTTTTCAAAGGAATCATATTGTCTTTATAGGCATTGTCACTATGATTAAACTTTTGGTCCTCTATGGCCCCAAACAATCTGCCACCCAGTCATGGAAACCCTCCCTAAGGGCTCAGAAATGCCAGGTGTTTTGTGGTTGGGGCTTTGGGTTGAGAGAGGGTAGAGGTTAGCGCAATGGAGTGCATGAGTTAGGGAGTCAGCCTGCAGGCAGTGTGGAGCTCTTAGAGATTTATAAATAAGGAAGGGGCATGTAATATAAATTTTAGAAAGAAATTTGATTCAGTGTGCAGCATGGACTGCAGGAGACTAAGACTAGCAACAGACAGGTCATTGCCATGGCTCAGGCAAGGCAATGGGATGATAATGGTCTCAGCAACAGTGGAGACACAGGGGTGGGGAGAGAGGGGATGAGTGTGAGACAGAGAAAGAGTACTCTGAGTTCCAATCTAGCCAGAATTTAAACTACCTGTGCTACAGTCTCTCTGCTAGCATTTCCCCAGTGGTATTCTGTAGAATGTGATTCCAGCAGCAGTTCAAACAAACACAATTAAAAATTCATTCTATGACCAAATGCTTGAAGCAGGTCCTATTTTCCACCTACTAGAGAGTCACAATTGTGTGTTAAAAATTATGAAAGGCCCTGAGAGGTCTTAGAGTAAAATAATGCAGTAATTTGCCTTAATCCACTGTTTACCAGATTTATTTGACCACATGCTACTTTCTTCGGGGAACACCTTTCAAAGACCTGTCGCACAGTATTGCACCGGACACTGGCTTGAGAAAGCTGATGTTTGCTCTCATCTATAGACTAAGCATGCCCTGCTGTATTGTCTCAGTGCGTCTAAATGTACACATCTGTTCAGTGTCCACTAGAAACGATGCAGGGAGGGTCCAACACAGTGTTTACTTTGGAGACCTTGGGATAAAATTAAAGTTGTATCACTTGTAAGTGGGAATGCAGTCACGGAAGCAGTCTGTAAAGTTCAAGACAGCTAGGCCGCAAAGACACGCTAGTCTATGACACTGTGCTGACCTGCTGTTGTTCTCCAGAACTTCCAGGGCAACGAAGCCATGTTTGAAGCAGTCGAACAGCAGGACATGGACGCTGTGCAGATCCTTCTGTACCAGTACACAGCAGAGGAGCTGGATCTCAACACGCCCAACAGCGAGGGCTTGACGCCTCTGGACATCGCCATCATGACCAACAACGTGCCCATTGCTAAGACCCTCCTGAGGACAGGGGCCAGAGAGAGTCCACACTGTGAGTAAACCTGAGCACAGCAGAGTAGGGTCAGACCTCAGCTTTCTGTCACTGAAACAGCCGTGCTGACCTTAGGAGCATGACTGACAATTAAGCATAGATTCTGAAATCTTTTACATGTTTTAATGGACTTCCATGCAACCAGTGATAGTGTTTATCTGTCTAAGCAATGAGTTACATTCTAAATAGACTACACTGAATGGTATTGAAAAGAAACCTTGAAGGAATATACCCCTAAGAATACAACTAACTGTGAAACACTCTAAGTGAGGCTATGGAACAGGAAGTATACATAGAAAAAATTAACTACGTGTGTGATATTGTCTTCCTGTCCATAATCAATACGGTGGCTCTATTCATTCATTCAACAAACACTAGGACAGGGCACTGTTCTAGGTACTAAGAATGCAGTAGTGAGCAAAAGAAAATCCCTATTCTCATAGAATAGTGGAGGAGACTTCCAATAAGCAAGTAAGTAGATAAATCAAAATATAAACTGAAATAGTGATAAATACTATGAAGAAAATAAAATGAATGAGTGGCTAGAGGTTGATGGAGTGGGAACTCTGTAGATGGAGTGGAGTGCCTCTCTGATGGGGTGATATTTGAGCCTAGCTCTGTACAGCATCAAAGAATGAGCCATGAGGTGTGGGGTCAAATCCTAGGCAGAGGGGACATCAAGTGGAAGGTGTGCTGAGGCAGGTGGGAATGAGACCGCCATATCTGAAGAACGAGAAGGCTGGTGTGGCTAAAGCAAAAGGAACAAAGGAGAGACTGACTGCTGAGGAGGCAGATCATTCAAGCCAGGGGCAGACATTCACCTTGGACCTTAGTGTGACGGGGATGCAGGGCGGCTGCTGGAGCAGGTGAATGGCATGCTCTGCTTCACATTTTCGAAGGTCACAACAGCGCTCCAGAGAGCAGACAGTGGTGGGGCCGAGGTGAGACTGGGGCAGGGGGCAGAGTGAGGAGTCTGTTTTAGTGGCCCACGAGGCACGAGCAATGGCTTGAACTAGAATGCTAATGACATTGATGGCAGGTGGGGGTGGAATTCTGGATATATTTCTTAACAGCATGATTGAGCTATAACACACATGCCGTACAATTCACCCACTTAACGTGGACAACTCAGTGGTTTTTAGCATAGGTACAGAATTGTGACACTGTCATCACAATCAACTTTAGACCACTGTCATTGCCTCCCCAAAAGACCCAACCCCTAACCTCCCACTGCTCCCTCCCCTGGGCAACCACTAATCTACTTTCGGTTCCCATAGATTTGCCTATTCTGGACATTCTACATAAATGGAATCATATAATATGTGGTCTTTGTGAATGGCTTCTTTCTGGATATGTTTTGAAATCGAGCTGAGATTACTAGCCAAAGGGAGCTGCTGTGGGACCAATGGCAGACCCTGCCCAGGAGCGGACGGGACAAAATCATACAACCCTCAGCCTGTGCCAGGCACTATTCTGAGCACTTTACGTGTATTCACGCCTTTAATCCTCACAGCCACATTCTGAGGTAGGCACTCACATTCCCCTCGGTGCAAACTCTCTGACCCAATGACCACAATGGCTCTGAGCCACAGTTTTTATGTTTCCTAAAAGAAAAAAGTAAACTCACCAAACTGTTAGTTTCACTAATACTGATTCACTTACTTCCAAGTGGTGAGACCCAGAAGGCTGAAAGAGAAGCAAGCACATATATAATTAGAGGTCACATCTCTGGTTCTAAATTTCATCAACCCCTGCCACCCAAAGACTAGGAACAGAGGCAGATCCTTGTATCAGAAAACTCGTTATTTGAAAAATGCTAAGCTTACCACATCCATGTCAAAGAGAGTGAGGGTTTGCATTTAGTAGGATCGGGGCTCTTCAATAAGGGCTTCATCATCAAAGTGCTGCTTCCTTTTAGTGGACTGGAGGATTTGCAGGGAGGGGCAAATAAGGCTGGAAGAAATCGAAAAAGCTTATTTGCTACCTTCCCATCTCTGCTGCAATAATGCCTGTCCCGATGACCTAGTGAGAGAGCGGTGGGAGAGAAGCAGAGGTCTGAGCAGAGAGAATGCAGACTGAGCCCCATTCTGTGGGAACAAGGAGACCATTCATCCAGATGTTGCATGCACAGGGCTGGATGAAACATTAGTCCTACTTACCTGAGACGCTACAAAGAATTCCCCATTTTTGTGAAACCAGTAAGACTCCCATTCTCCCCAAGCCCCTTTGTGCATAATTAAATCTCTATAAAAGAACCCAAGTACTAAATGTCTAGATAAACCAAAAGCAAATGTGTTCAAAGATCCCTGGTTTTTCTCATTCCCTCAAGAATGATAACCATAATCATCATCACCAAGTTGTAAACGACAATGAGAGATAAACCCGGGTTTAGCCTCTGGGAAGGAGGACTCCTAAGTCACCTTGGCCACCCCACAACTCAAAGACACAGTGTGATGTACAGACCCCCACACATGCAAAAATGGCAAAGGGACCTTCACTGAGTATCTATGAAGTCTCCACACACATATCTCCAGTTTTCACACTGGCCCTTTGGGGGAGGTAGAGGGGAATATTATTAACTCCACTTAAAGGGGAATTTTTTATCCTGAGAGGCTAAATGGCTAACCAAAGGTCACATATCTATCAAAAATAAATAGGGATGTCAAAAACACAAGCCCAAGTCTGTGGGACACCCATGCCTGAGATCCTTCTATGCAAATTTACTGCCTTCCCAAACAACCAATAAGGAGGGCTGTGGCCAGATGCAGGGAGAGATGGGCCCTGCATCTTTCCCTGTGTGCTGTTTGCTAACATCCTATGGTGTATTTCTTTATTCTGTTCTGTGCACTAAGGTGCCACCCCTGTTGGAGATGGGCAGGACAACAGAACACAATCTGTCTTCAAGGAGTTTTAAGTCACTTTACACATCAAGTACAAAAGAAAGAGAATTGCTCCTCTGCATGAGTATGAGCTAGCTCATGAGAAAAACCAGTTGCCAGTCAGAACCAGATAATTAAATACCTGCTACAAATTGTTTCCCCGAAGCTGCTGAGAGAGGGTATAAGAGAAGAAAAATAACAATGAGGTCTTAAGTTCCTAGAGTGTTTTACACATTTCAAAAAAGCCTTTTCTGGCTTGAGAGTTGGGAGTTAGTTAAATAATTCTACAAAGCAAGTAAGTAGTGGAGGCATGCATGGTTTGAACCCAGATCTTCGGTGTTTGTGGAAAAGCACTAACACATTTACTATCACACCATAGAGGCTCAATTTCTTCCTTCCCTGTTTCTCTACTTGCCCCTCTTCTAATGACTGTCAAGTAACTCAAAGCACAGTGCAGGGTTTCCAATAGGCTTAATTTTCTGTCTTCCCCTCCCCTGGGTGTTCCCTTCTGAAAACTAGCCCAATACGCTTTCCACTATGTCAGCCAAGAATCCAGCACAACTCAGAAGAAAGTGCTCTGTAATTCTCCCCATTTCATAACAGGAATCACAAAGACACAGATGAGTTTAGGGACTTAACTCCCAAGCCATTGGTCTGGCCTGTCTTCAGTCTTTAGCTCCTCAAGCACAGAACTATACATAGGTGTTCTTTATAAAGAGGGCTTGAAGCTCAAGCATGTGCATTTCTGTGCATGCTTGAGCTTCAAGCATGCACAGGGAAGGGCGTCGACTTGTGGGACTTCCTTACTATAGGGAAGTCCCACAAGTGGACGCCCAAACTTGTGCATTGCCCCGAGGTTAAATATATTCAGAACCCCCACTTGCCCATTAGATGAATCTGCTCTCTTTATTCAGTGACTTTTTCTGTTCCTCCCACCTTTAGGCAAGCAGCACAAAGTAATACTCATTCATTCTAGAAGAAAACATCAGTCACTATTAAAATAGAATCCCAAGTACTTCCTCTCTGATGGGAGCCCTGCGTTCAGGAAACAGGCACCGACTCTGAAGGCCTGGAGTAGGAGAGCTAAAGTACAGAGGCACCTCGGGACCCCTGGGGCTGTGCCTTTGCTTGCTCCATCCATTCAGTGTCCAGTCGCCACGACTCACGCTCCATTGAACAGCTGCTATCTGAGAAAGACTTGTCTGCATGTGGGAAAGTCCCCAGTCATAAACCCCTCCCTTATCCTGACTAACTCCTACCCTGCTCCCACCCTCAAATCACACTTCCACAGTCTCCAGAGGAATTTGCTGAATCATCAGTGAGGTCTTTGCCTTTCTGAGGCTGCTCTTATTTGGCACCATTTAGGCTCTGTAAATAGGAATCATAAAGAAGCCCATTCTTTTTGGACACCTACTGTGTGCAAATCCTGTAACTCACACGGATTTTGCCTCACCTTTTGATCCCAGTACCTGGCACATAGTAGGGACTCAGAAATTTTCTATTGTAACTTTAAGCCCTGTCTTGTGATGCTGGGAATTGCAGATATCCAATTTTAGCTCATACACACAAACAAATTTTGTGTGCAGGTCTCGTACAATGTATGGGGAAAAACCTCTAAGTCTTCCAGCAATTTATTTGTACTTTGGGGGACCTTTTGTTGTTGTTGTTGTTGTTGTTGTTGTTGTTGTTGTTGTTTTCCAGGTTCTGTTGTAGAATTTGGTTGTAGGTGTAGCCTGATGGGCTTCATCTTTACACTGATTAGTAACGTGGAGGTAAGGATGGTGGAACGCTTCTCACTCTTCGTCTTTCGGCCCTTTCCTGGGGCAGCGTTGTCCCTTCTCCTCAGAGCCTCTCCTGTCTCTCTGCATTTCTGGGTGCACCCCTCTCTCTCACTCTCTTGGACACTGCCTGTGGAAGTAGGAAATGTTGCCCAGAATGAGTTATGTTCAGTTACTTCATAAAATGCAACTGCAAGTGAGTGTCACCTGAGCACGGCACAGACACCAGTGTTACAGCTTTGGCAGACTTGTCAGGATGCACCCCTCGTTTCTGCGGTAGTCCAGGGCTGCTGCTGGTGCTGGGACTGGTTCAGGGCACGTCTAAGAGGTGTGACTATAAACT